GTAATTAATTTCCGTCCGTCCGTCCGTCCCTCTCTCCCTCCCTCCATCCATCCACCCACCCACCCGTCCGTCCATCCATCCATCCCTCCCTCCGGATCCCTCCATCCATCCATTCCCATATTACTGCAAGTAATTAATTTCCGTCCGTCCGTCCGTCCATCCATCCATCCATCCATCCACCCACCCACCCGTCCGTCCGTCCATCCATCCATCCATCCATCCTACCTTCCGTTACGTGTGTCACGATAAAACCAAAAAAGTGGCTTATCTGCGGTCTGCTGGATTTTTAAACTTTAATATTCTGGTATTTTCATGCTTCACAGATACTAAGCAGAATAAACAATAACAATAATACTACAAAAAATTTATTATTGAAATGTTCACCTGTCGTTTCCTTGGCACTGTTAAGTGATTAACCTATTTTGAGTGATGCTTTGAATTTCTTATTCTCGGTATTGTCTCGACGAGTCCATTAAGTCATTCATGTCTCCTTCTCCCTGCCTCCAGCCTTTGATTCTGCAACCTGTCTTATCTTTGTTTCTGTATTGTTATATAAACTATCTAAAGCGACAGGTCCCTTTTGTTTTGACTTGAAGTTATTTTCAAGTCCGTAAGTATGAGACTTTTCGACTGCATGAATATTCCATAAAGGGTTATTCTATTTACCATTAGATTTGCAATCGCCTTCACTCAAATCTTGATTTWTTTATTTATTTGTTTTTATGTTGCGTGCTATGATGCTAGATTAAAGCATTTATTTCCCGTATGTTAGTGAGTGTGACAGACCATGTGCGAGATTGCTTGACCTATTTATTCATTGACTCGTGAAGTACGCCTTCGTACATTGGTTAGAACTCTAGATATCGAGACTCTTAATTGACGTGCTATAACACTATTGATACCAAAGGCATTCATTGACTTGAGTTGGTGTTAATTCTCACACATGTGACCTACACCGGTCGAGATATTTACTTTATTCTTCGATTTAAATTACTTGTTCAAGCCAAAGAGTTTCAGAGGCTAATTCTTCATAAAGTGGACGTATTGCTTTGCCATTGTACGCAATGATGAACGACTATGCTTCGCCAATGGACACGAAAACATCTGATGGAGATGTGAAAGTAGATCTTCTGGAAGATACGAAAATAAAGAAGGGCAAATCTTGTATCAAAACTAAGAGGTTCCTCTATGTAGTGATTGCAATCTTAGTTATTCTTGTGGTAATCTTTTTCGCGTTATTTCTACGACTTGCTCTCAAACCTACATTGCCAGAAATATGTGAAGACGAATTCTGTATCTATGCTTCAAAAGGTATGGATAAATATATGTTTACTTTAGATAGTTTTAGAAAAGGTTTTTTCATATATAATGTTAGTATCTACTCATAGAGATATTGGAAGCCTCTTCTACTTCAAGTCATAATATTCAGCACATTTACTAACTGGATTACCAAAATCTAAGATAAATCAGTTCATAAAAATTGTTTTGATTTGCAGGCTCCAAAGATCTTGTGTTAAGCCATTTGATTACTTTACACAGCCATTTTGGGTTGTATATGAAGGAAACGTATGTTTTGTCGAAATTCACTCAGGCATAGTGACCCTCAAAAATCCAGATCGCTATCGAGATTAGCATGTTTTTTAGTCTTTTTTGATGCTTCTGTTATGTTTTTCTATCATATAATAGCTGGGGGCTGTGCTATTAGTCTGTTCCAGCTATATCTTAAATAAACACCAATATCTCAAAATGTTCAGTTTTGTATTGGAATCAAAAGTACGAGCTTTAACAAATACTAGATGAAGAAAGATTATTATTTCCCACGCATTTTATTTTAAAATCTAATAGAATATTATCTTAATTGTTCCAAAATTCAAATTTTGTCAACACACCTTTTAATTTTGTGAAAATAATAAACAAAAACCTTATTTTCGTGATTTGATTTTCTAACTGATTTACAGCAAGCTAGGCATAATTGTCTTGAATATCATATCCTCTAACTAATCTATCTTTCGGTTGAAAAAAATTCAATAAGATTTTCTAATATTTAACTATCGTTGCTTGTTTGCAGTTTTTTAGCGCCTTGTGTTCATATTGTGTCTGTTCGAACTGTTTTGAGTTTTAATTTTCTGTTTACAGACATGTTAACTTTTGAATTTCACCGATGAGGGAAAAAAATCATTATTATTTAATGACAAACAGTCCAATATTGTGGTTGACAATATATTACCATCATAATTACGAACCAAAACTTCATCTTAGGAATAACGACCTTGAAATAAAGCGAGTCGTTCAACCAATGGCAATCCCAGAAACGTGCAAATCCAGAAAATTAATTTAAAATTTATTTAAGATGAAAAGAATAACGGAAGAACGTAATAAGAAAAGAAAAAAGAGTTAGGATGTTACATTGGATAATTGCAACCGGACGTCTTGAATCGTAATTCTAATTATTACTCAACAAAGAGCCAAGCAGAATACAGTTTTTTTCTAATTTACTAGAAGCCTAATCCTAAAACAAACCACGAAGTTTTCAATTCAATTAACTTGCCCGATTTAAAGTCGCGCAATTAAGCAGGTTATTTAATTTTATCGCGGTGGCCCAGAGGGATTAGGTTCTGTATTGTAAACACCATTTATCAACTTTCCCAGAGTCATTTGACATGCGACTGTTTGATTTTTTCATACTCGTGATTGTAAGAATAATTGACTTTACTGAGAGACTTCTGGTTAGGGTTTCATGACGTTATAATCAATAATAAATAATTAATATTCGAATAGAGCCATTCCATGTAGTCTTTCATCTGTGTTGCCAAAACTGTTCTGCGCACTGGAAGTTAAAATAAGAACTTTTGAAAAGGAAGCTAGCGCTACTACAAAAAAGTTGTTGTTTATTTGCAGGTATACTTAACGCTATGAACAAGTCCGTGAAACCATGCGATGACTTCTATTCGTACGCCTGTGGAGGTTGGATCAAGAACAACCCAATACCCGACAGCAAAACAGCGTGGAGTCAGTTCAAAATCTTGTACGAGAGAAATGAAGAAGTATTGAAGCAGCTTATCTTTGACCCTGAGATACGAAAGAAACATAGTAAGGTAAAGGAAGCCTTTTTTTCTTTCTTTCTTTTTTTTTTTGTTTGGCCAAGGAGCTCTAGGCTTTTGCAATAGCGAGCATGATGCATTGTGGTCTAGCCTTGGTACAGGCATATCTTGTTCACAATGCACCCTGTTTGTCGAACCAATAAGGTGCCTTGACCGTGCCGTAATCATGACGTGCCGTGACCATGTCGTGCTGTGACGTTCCGTGACAATGACGCGGACTGACCTTGTAATACCGTGACCATATCGTACCGTGACCATATCGTACCGTGACCATATCGTACCGTGACCATGTCGTACCGTGACCGTGACCGTGCCCGTGCCGTACGACCGTCCTTCTTCCTTACTGCTATCAAGGTTCATCCATCCTACCTTTCACAACTGCAGATTATTGAGTGCGTGATTGATCAACCTATGGTTCTTAATGCGCATGCGTAACCCACCGCCTACCCAACTAAACATCCCTGGAGCACGAAAACCTCTGTAATCCTTATAAAACTGTCTGTGGTGGCTTCATGTCGATGAGTCTCGAAATAAGACATTTATTATACTTTTTTGACAGATTTCATTGCGACTTGTGGTTGGCTTGGTGAGGGCACAGCTTTTCATAACGCATAAAAAACGTCGTCTTTTGAACTGGCGGGAAAACGGAATGTTTCGCGCTTTGTCTCGAACCATCAGTCCTGACCGAAAGATATCGGCAAAAACAAAAACAAACAAACAAAAAACTGAAAAAACAAAACCGAAAAAACAAAACAAAACAAAAACAAAAACAAAAACGAAAAAAAAAAAAAAAAAAAATTTCCAGTAGGTTTAAGTTCCAGGTCACCCATCCAGGTACTAGCCTCCCCCAACCGAGCTTGACTCACTGCCTTTGTGGAGACCCACGTTTTTTCCACTGAGCCACGGTTTCACGAAACTAGCAAAACAATAGCCTCGAAAACAATGCACCGGATAGACTAGACTTTTTAACATTAGTTTTTCAACCGATTCCGTGCGTGGCAGAGATGCAAGGGATTAGCCGATATGGTCTGGGGGCCGGCTGGTCTCTCCCCTGATGCTTCGGCTAGAACATTTTCTTGCGTAATTCGTACACCCAAGGGCAGAAGGATTTAATCGCCGTCAGGTCCGAAGTCCATACGACGCCCCAGCTCTGCGGATGTCTCGGGGGTATGGCAAWGTGGAGTCGTTTTTTTTTTGTTTTTTTTTGCATATTTATTAGGGGATTTATTTGGTAGACGTGGGTTGAATCCTACCGGCTTTCTTCAATTTATATTTTTTCGTCTTTTCTTTTCTTTTTTTTTTCTTTTTTCTTTTTCGTCTCTTTTTATTTATTTATTTATTTTTTTCGTCTTTTATTTTCGTCTTTTTTTTTTCCTTTCTTTAAATTGTTCATTGGTAATCTTTTAAGAAAACGTCACTAGTTGCTTCTTTTTGAAAAAATACATTTAGCAATCCGAAAAAGCGCAAGCATTACTTCCCTGGCTTAAAATACTTGCAGAAAATATCTCACTGATCAAACAAACGTATATCATTTTATAGAACGAAGCAGTTGTGAAAGCTTTCAACTATTTCGATGCTTGTATGGATATTGAAAGGATCGAGAAGCTCGGTGGGAAGCCATTGGAACAGCTTATCAAGGACTACGGATCGTGGAACGTGACGGATAAGAAATGGAGTGCCAACTCATGGGACTTCATGACAAATTTCGTTAAAATACAGAAAGAACTCTCCATTGCCTTGCTATTTAACATGTTTGTGGCTACAGACCTGAAAGATTCAACCAAAAACGTCATTGTAGTGAGTATATAATAAGAACTTTTCCTTTAAAAAAAAAAATTTATATATATATATATATCCATCATGTAGAAGTTTGCGTTTTTCCCTACATCACCTGAAACCTTCCTATTGGCCCCTGAAGGCGCCCAATCACGTCAACCCACATATTGACAAAAGTATATCTTCAACAAACAAAGAAAAAATCCCAATTTTATGCGCATGCTCAGCAGATGAAGTAGTATTTCCGCTGTGCTACTGATTGCTGATCCAGAAAAGAAAGCTGAAAAATAGAAAATATTTTGTGTGCGCAGTATCGTTATATCTTTTTAGTAAGAATACGCAGGTGAACTCACACTATCACACGATAATCACCTCGAGCGAAAATCCAAAATGGCGGCCAGCCGCTTTGTTGCTATTACCGGAAAAAAATGCCTTTTACCTTCTTTTTTTTCTTTTTTTGAAAGAATCACCTGTGTATTTATACTAAAACAATTATTTGCCTCAGGCTGAGTGATTATTGGGGAATATTTACCTCGCCGCTCGAAGACTCGCGTCTCGGTAAATATTCCCCGATAATCACTTTGCCTTCGGCGAATAATTGTTAAATATTCTTAATCAACATTTTTCCTGAATGTTGGGTTTTTTCCTGGTTGAATTTCATAATTAATTATTACGAATATTTAATGTTCGTTTGGTGTTTTTCAGTTTGATCAGAATGGCATTGGCATCTCTAGAGAGAGTTATTTCTTCAACACAACTTACCATAAAAAGGTAAAAAGCAACTCCATGGTTTGTAAGCAGATGATAATTACATGGCGGCCATGTTGGTGATATAAGCAAAGTAAGCTAGTAACAAGTCTACTGTTGCTTTGCAGACGCACTAACCAGGACCACTATACCACAATTTAAGATAAAAAACTTTAGCCAATCAATAGAGAGCAAAATCATTAACATTTTATTCTCAGCCAATCACGTTCATTTCCACAGTTATTGTTGCATCTAAGTATTTTCTTGTTGCTTGCACCTGATTGGTTCAAGTTTGACTTAAAGTGTATATGACACGAAATCATTTCATCGCTTGAAATGTATAGTTTGTTAATAATGATAAATATATCTTAATAAAATTTGTTTCGAAAGCTTATTTCTTGAGATATGTGAGAAAATTAAGCCCAATTTGTGACGTCATTTTGTTGACACGTACTCTAGATTCGGTAGTAATGTACTAAATATAAATTGTAATTCATACAAAATAACAACAAAAGGCATATTGTATTCTGCTTCATTTGATAGCTTACGTAGTACTCTTCAAATGTTGTGAAACTGAAAAGTGTACTACCTGAAATTAAGATTCTACATTCAAACATATTTCGTGTATTTGCAACCAAATCTGGAGACTTGTAAACAAAATGACGTCACAACTTGTGCTAAATATTCTTGAATTTCTAGAGAAATACGTTTTTGAAACAAATTTAACTGTGATATTCTTATTCATGACAATAAAATACACATTTTTAACATTAAAATTTTTTCATGTCATATGCACTTTAAGTTTCATTGCATTGTTTTCGCTGTATATTGTGATTGGTTAATTGAGTCTTCACGTGGTCCCGGTTAATGAGTTTGCGCAGTAAATACCACCAACATGGGCGTGATGAAGTAGCGTGCAGACGAAGAATACACCTACTAGAGGAAGGAAATGGATCCTAAGAAATGCCTGATCTTGAAATCCCGCAACGATAGTCAAAAACAAGATACAAGATAGAAAATACAAGATAGTAGAATACCAGACAGTCAAACTCTGGCCCACTGCACCGCTTTCATAAATTATTCTACAATTGTTTTTTCTTTTCTCCAGGTTCGCGGAGCATATAAAAAGTTCATGGTGAATTTGATGAGACTTGTTGGAGCAGGAGATGAGGCCCAGGCACGCGCAGACGAAGTGTACGCCTTCGAGAAAGAATTAGCAAGGGTAAGCAATCAAGCTGTGGATGTTTGTCTTGATGAATAAGGTTTACTAAATATGATTTTACCATCATCATCTTCATTACTATAATAATMATCATCATCATCATAATCATCATCATCATCACCGTCATCATTATAATTAGGGACCTTAAGCTGCAGGACGGCAACGACGRCGGCAACCATACAATAGCACTAATTGCGCTATTCAATAGATACTCGTTGGAATGTACGAAATACTGTGCATCATTACCGTCTTATGCTGAAAGTAAGACGTGAAATGTCCTATTTTTACGTACTAAAGAGAACGGCTACGCCAAAAGCTTATCTTTGCTGATTTTCGTTATAAGTAAAGCGCTCCCAAAAGACGTCATTTCACTCCAAAACGGGGATGCTTACTGGGTGAAATACTAGGTAAACACGAAATAATAATACAATAGAAGGTTGAAGCGCTTCAATTTCGCCGACGTTTTCGCCCACGTAGCCGTCCTGCAGCTTAAGGCCCCTATTACCATTATCACGATGACCTTCATCATCATCGTAATCACCATTTTCACAATCATCACTATCATCATCAACAACATCGTCGTCGTCATCATCATCATCAACATCATCACCACCACCATCATCAACATCATCACCACCACCATCATCAGCATCATCACCACCACCACCGTAATCATAATCATTATGTTTTTTGTTCAAGATTTTCATCCCAAAGGAGCAACGTCGAGACAGTAACGCAATCTACAAGAAAATGACGCTCAAAAAACTGATTGAAGAAATTGGACCAAGTCAAGTAAGCGTTATTGGAGATGGGGTATCTTCATCCAGCATTACGATGCCTAAGGGATGAGTATAGTAACTACTGGAATATGTTACATATCCAGACCCCTGTCTACCCCCCTGTGTAACTAGACTATGTTACTTATGCACTTCCAGACCCCTGTCTACCCCCCTGTGTAACTAGACTAAGTTACATATGCAATTCCAGACCCCTGTCTACCCCCCCTGTGTAACTAGACTAGATGGCTGCGGGTATGATCCCAGACCCATTTTTATCCCCCTCCGAAGAAATTGAATTCTCAAGTAAACCATGGACTAACTCTACTTGTAAATTGGACTACGGTTGCGCATGCGCTAGTGCGGTTTAACCTCTGTCCAGACGCCGGCCACCTTTCCATTTTACTGATTTAGTATAATTTGTTTTTGTCTTTAGATCAATCTGACGGAATTTCTAGTGCGAATGTTCGCAGAGACTTCTTATAATATAACCCAGGACGAGGAGGTTGTCGTCTATGCCCTGGACTATATGAAGAATGTTTCGAAGGTGTTTGAAGCAACTGAGAAGAGGTAGTTTAGGAATAATGTTCGCCACGTGTTTGTGACTGGGCTAAATAATCGTATCGCCATCCTTATCATCATTATTATCATTATCATTATCATTATCATCATCGTCATCATCATTATTATTATCATTATCATCATCATCCTCGTCAACATTATGATCATTATCATTATCCTTACAATCATACAGCATCATTGTCATCACTATCATCAATTATCATTATCACCATGATAATGATGATGATGATGATGATCATTATCATATAGCATCATTATCATCATGCATCATTATCATCATAAGTCGTCATCGTCATCATCTATTATCAGCCATCATTATCTTCATCATGACCACCATCATCATCATCATGGTCATCATCATCATCGCCATCATCATGATTATCATCACCACCATCATCATCATCATCGTTAACAATCATCATGGTTATCATCATCACCATCACCATTATCATCACCACCATCATCATCATCATGGTCATCATCATCATCACCAYCACCACCATCATGGTTATCATCATCATCACCATCACCATTATCATCACCACCATCATCATCATCATCGTCAACAATCATCATGGTTATCATCATCATCATTCATCAGCCATCATTGTCACCATCACCATCATCTTTATCACAAGTCCTTTAGAATATTAATTTGTGTATATACCCTGTAAACTAGCATGTCCCTAGTTTATACTTGATTCCTTGTACCTCAGGATAATTGCTAACTACCTGATGTGGCACGTAGTGGTACTGAACGGCGCCTACTTGTCCCAGGAATACACCAAAGTCTTTGATGAATATCGTAAATCTATCATGGGCACGAGTGGCGAGGACCCTCGCTGGCAGACATGTATGAGTGAAGTACAGAAAGCCTTTGGTATGGCCGTCGGGCTGCTTTTCGTTGACAAGAAGTTCAGCGGGACAAGCAAAAAGTCGGTGAGTCAAACCGTAAAGCAACCTCTGGGCTGATCTAAGTCAGGGCACGCCTAACTCACAGATACATCCCTGAAACAACCTCTGGGCTGATCTAAGTCAGGGCATGGCTAACTCTCGATTGAATTGAAATTTAGCGTGTAGGAAGGAAAAACCCTCTAAGCAAGGGAAAGGCGAGTTCAGAGACGAATGCTATACCGCTACTCCACACTTGAGTCCCCTCTTGAGTATGATTTCTTTATTTACTGTAMATTTTGGTCTGTTGTAGGCTGAAGAGATGATTCACGCTATAAGAGGAGTTTTTATCGATAACCTAAAGGACATTGAATGGATGGATGAAGAAACGAAGAAAGCCGCTAAAGATAAGGTACGCGATTGTGTACTGAATTAAGTGCCCTTGACGGAAACCAATGGGAGGGATTAGGCAGGTGTTGGTTACACGAAGATTGGGCAAAGTACAAAATTTGAAAAGATAAATGGTGGGAGGGAGGGAGGGAGGGAAGGAGGAATGAATGAATGTGTAGACGACAACTATTTGATTTCCTAATTAGCGTAGGTTATTAATATTCATAAGTTGAAATTATGGGATGTAAGCCGGGACAGGCAGCAAGACGATCGTAATACGTACACCATATGGTATGTCAAGATTATATTTGATTTTCCGTAAGATATAGGCTTTTAATTTGTAACTTTTT